ACGCACACCCGTATCCTGTTTTACAAAAGTCTCTTTGTTTTCTCAAAAAATCTCATTTTTTACAGGCAAGTAGGTGTATGGTGAAGACAGTATACTTTTTTTCGGAAACCTTTTTGAAGAACCAAGCTTGAAAATCATACTGTTTTTTAAGGGTGAGACTTCGTAGTATTTAGCTATGTGTTTATACTGCAGTTTCTTTTCCAGAAGAAATTTCGCAATTTTTTTCTCGGGAGAGGCCCTTAATTTTGACAGGTAAACATCTGAAGAGCCAAGCAAAACATTTTTAAGCTTCAGGCAATTATATTCTTTTTCTCGCAAAGTCATGCACGTTCACAATAGCATTTGAATAGAAAAAACTCTTAATGTGTATTTTCTCATAAAAACAGATGAGAGTGGGCGAAGGATTATATGTATATATATGTACATAGACGTATTCACTAACTTTCATTTTCAAAATATTCAACAAAATGATCAAAAGTTCTGAACTGCTTATTGTTATGTTGTAAGTAATCTAGATGAAGCTGATGGATCTCTAAGAAACATCTTATGTGTTGCTCTTCTAGGTGCATCGCCAGTATTTCAGGTAGGAAAACCCATACGAATTTCCACTTTTCGGCAATATTGGCTAAGATCTAATGGACGTTCACCAATGGTGAAAACTCCGTTTGAGAAAATCCTATTGGCGAAGAACGGTTTAGGCAACCTATTGCGAATAAAAGAAACTTTATCTTACCGCTTGAAATAATAGAGATAAGAAATTTATTCTATCATTTCAAAGTTAAATCCTGAGAACTGCAATGTCACAATTCTATTTTCACCGTGAAACGTCGTACCAGCATGTTGTACTAGTTTGGTTTACAAAAGCATAACAAAAGTAACATAGAGAGTTTTAACAAATAGTCTTGTTGCATAGAACGATTTAAAATATTGAAACAGTAATGACTGAGCGATACACAGAAATATGAAAAAATGAGTACATGTGGCTTTTACTGAGTGAGATATTCCACCAATATTATTTTAATATATTATTTCATCATGTTCATCCATCAAAAAATTGAAAATTTTCACTCTTACGTAGGGCGATATCGGACGCGTTTAGTCGAATGGTGACTCTATTTCCTTCCTCAACACGCTTTGTTTTTGTTGTAATATGGCAACTAAGCCAGCAGAATATAAGATTATTTGTTTTATTTAAGTATCTTCGCATATGATAAGCATCTTTTTGAATACAAAATGACACAGAATTGACTACATGCGTGTCTGCATCGAAAATAAAATTAATAGACTTGTTACGTAAAACTTTATCCGATTCATTTTAGCTGTGGCGATAGCATTAGGAACGACAACAGCGTCAAAGGGTAACAGCACGCTGAAAACAACAATAAAGACAACACTGAGACCAACAGCAACTACGAAGAAGACAACAGCAACAAAGAGAACAACAACTACAACTACAACAACAACAACAACGACACCAAAGATAACAACAACTACAACAACAACAACAACAACAACAACAACAACTACAACTACAACAACAACAACAACTACAACTACAACAACAACCACAACTACAACAACAACACCAACTACAACTACAACAACAACAACAACGACACCAAAGAGAACAACAACGACACCAAAGAGAACGACAACGACACCAAAGAGAACGACAACGACACCAAAGAGAACGACAACGACACCAAAGAGAACGACAACGACACCAAAGAGAACGACAACAACAACAACTACAACAACGACAGAAGATACCTCGACAATAACAACAGCAGCAGGCAAGTAAAACAAATCAGAAAATTCTACAATGAAAGTTTCTACATATTGATTGCTAACTTGTAGATTAGAAATATAGTTGATACATAATAGCAATCACTTTCATGAGAGCACAGGTCTTTTTAAACTACATGCCAAATGTATTCACAAAATACCTTTTGCCTCTATGGCAAGATATGAACCTTTGTGTCTTTCCACATAGATTTATGAACCAGAAAATTTATCTAAATTATGCCTTGAAAACTAAACTAACATTAAACTACAATAATATTTGAAATAATAAAAAATCTTTAGTTTCAATCAAATTTCAACTTCGAATAACTATTGATAAATACTACATACCTGCAAATAATAACTTCTCGGAATAGCGAGTTAGTAAATGGGAATCGATCAAAGAAATAGTCTACTCTCTTATGATTTTTATTGGTTGAAGTCGTCTATTTGCATACCTCAGTAGAGCTCATTATCGATTGCATCGATTTTTTTGCAATATCGATCTGGATATGAACTAGTGCATACTGCCATTTTATTTAAGAATAACTGATACATAATATTTTCAATATTTTGATGTGAAATGTGTTTTAAATTTAAGCGTTTTCATACATAAAATCAGATGATTCATGATGAAGAAGTGTACAGCTGTAGAATAGGTAGCGCATAACAGCTATGAGTACAAATATTGGAACACATATTTTCTGACGTGAAGATTATTCGTGACTATACTAAGATCGAAAACCCATAATAAGAACCAACAATAAGTTATAACCTATATCAACACATTGATACAAACGTATAATTACACATATCTGTTACAAAAGACATACTAACAATACTAAACTGTAAAAAGTGGAATGGTTATTTAATCTAGGAGTTTCGTTTCAAACTTACACTAGATGCCACAACACACTTCTAAAAATTTGAGACGATTGTCAAGTCTATTATAATAGTATCATTTATGTGATCATGTGGGTGAGCGTAGGTTTTCATAGGAAAAAATTCAAAGACCATATTCCATACCGACACTCACCCAGACCCAAGAGAATTCGAAATAATAACTATACCTGAATATATGAATATATTCCTAAAATCCCTCAGCGAACGAGTATACATATTTCCGTTGTAGAGTATTAAACTTTTATCTTGATAATTATTCATAAGACAAAAGGATAGTGGACTAGAGAAAATGAAACACACTAACAAGTTTAATATGTCTGCTGACCATGTTATAGAATAAGCTTCAAGTCGAGGAATATCTTCTATGAATATTGGGAGTGAAAAGTAAAATTATCCTGAAAGTATGACTTGTTTGTACTTTTATTAATATGTCATAGACAATTGCTTTTCAAATTCTGAAAAAATGCGCATCTTTCCCACTAAGTCAAAGAAAGCATCACCACGCTCGGTCGGCACGCCTATACGATATCATGGAGGTCCTGTCATGACAAATCCAATTATCTATGTTATTTGGTATGGAAACTGGACTGGAAATAATGCAACAACTATTATAGAAAAGTTCTTGCGAGATCTTGGCTCAACAGCATGGTGGAACATCACTCGGGAATACAATTATACGGCACCAATCGTTTTCGGCTCATCAATAACTGATTATTATTCAAAAGGAACATACCTTAGTCGTTGGGGCATAGAAACTCTCATTTATAGGGTAACTGATGACGGATCCCTTCCTCGCGATACGAATGGGATTTATCTCGTACTTGCGTCTGCTGATGTTAGTGCATGGTCCTTCTGTACATGGTATTGTGGTTGGCATACATACAGTGTGTGGTACGATCTTAAGTACTCATTCGTAGGAAACCCAGAACAGTGTCCAAGTTTGTGTTCCTTTCAGATGGTTACACCCAATGACAATTTTGCAGCAGATTCAATGATTACTGTGATTGCCCACGAACTTGCTGAAGCAGTTACCGATCCAAGACTCGATGCTTGGTATGACTCAAATTGTGATGAAAACGCTGATAAATGTGCTTGGATGTTTCAGCCTATGGACGTACTACCAAATGGTGCATATTACAACATGGTTATAAATGATACCAAGTACTTGGTTCAAGAAAATTGGCGACTGTCGACTCAGGATTGCGGCATGTCCTTAAACACAATCGATTGATAATGAATGACTCACTTTAAATTCAATAGACACAAAACAGTCCTTTTACTCTCTTCTCCTATATTTAAAGAATGTTCTGTGAACGTGAAGTTTGTGATGATTCACAGTTTTGACATATTCACTCATCTTCATTAAACATTTTTCTGTCTAATTATGTTCTTTTTTCTATTGATTTTGATCAACCTTCAGCTAATATCATATATAATAATAACATTTTAATAAAATTCATTTTCATGTTAAATTTGACTCTCATACAAGGTCATATCATCATAGCTATACATTTTACTTGTCCGAACAAGTTTCGTTACGCAGTTATTTCATTTTTAAATGCAAATAATTAATATTTCTTTTTAAGTGAAGGGTGCAGGTGTGGGTGTGGGTATAGGTGTGTGGTGGTGACTATCGGTGTGGATGCGGATGTAGGTGTGGGGGTGTGGATGTGGGTGCGGCGGTGTGAGTCTTTGTGTGGCGACCAAAAACAGGGTCAAGACTCAGACCCACACCCGTACACTAACAGCCATACCCACACACTGCACACTAACACCCACACCCACACCCACACCCACACCCACACCCCCCCCCCACCCCCCCACCCACCCCCACACCCCCACCCACCCCCCACCACCCCCCCCCCCCCCCCACCCCACCCACCCCCCCCCCCGCCCACCCCCCACCACCAGGCCACGCCCCCGCACGCC